TAAACCTATAAAAAAGACACTCTCTATCACGTTTTAGTCATTGCTCTCAACTGACAGAAGATTCTTAGAAGAAATTCCTAATTAAAGCCAAATTTGGCCTTGAAATATCACAAAAATTGTGTTATTTGAACGAAGAACATTCATTTTTTTGTCCAATGCCAAGAAATTGATTAATGGTAAAAATATAATACGATCAAAATGTCAACAAAGAATTTCGAGTGTTTTATGAATTTATGTTTGTGTTTTAAAATGATACATTGAGAATTTTGTATGGAGAACAACAGTTCGTAGTGAAACAGAAACAACTGGTTAGCTTAGCAGATAACGAGAAGCATGGCACAAGTTGAACAAGCGATTTAACGCTTGTAAGTATTGTTCATCATTTGAGGGCGGAAGCTTCCTCAGAAAAATTTTTTCGTGACCACGTGATCATCTTCAACGATAACTCTTTCAGATTTAAAAACTGAATCTATGAAGAGCCTTAATTGGTGTTCGATTAAGGTGATAACGTTTAAACATCGGTTGCTTCAGAAACCTCAACATTCTCCTCTCCATAACGTTTGATGGCATTCTCCTCTGATATGCCGACACATCCGTATTCGACTGGAGTGAATATGGTTGTGGGCACCTAAATGATGATCAGAATTCTTGGCTTTATTCAAAACTCAATCAAATCAATCACACTCCACTTAATAGGTCAAATTTGCGACTCAAGGCGTTCCGATCAACGAAAAATAATGAACAATTTTGCTGATATTGGAGAACTAATTACAAAATGAACTCAAAATATTAAATGATTTCGTTTTAAAAATTCAATCAATATATATTACCATATCATATCGCATCAACTTATCTGACAANTCATTTGATAAAATGATCAGTTTCGCTCGATATTTCTTCTCATCAAATTCAGCTCTTTCAAAAACATCAAATTAAAAAGTGGCGGTTCCATGCGGTTATTTAATTGATTTGAAATCTTAACGCTCATATAGAATTACGTTTGTCATCAGGAATGCCAGAATCATTCTCAGAATATTGCTTACAACTGGATAACGAGAATGAATTGACTGGATGCAAATCACGGACGACTGATTACTTTTAGGGCAACCAAAATTCAACGACTGAAATCGAAATCGCTAAGGGAAACAAACTTCAGCAATATCCCCAATCGCGTAAATGTTCTTTATGGATGTTTCGTCACGATCGTTCGCAATCACTTTACCTGAATCTGCCAACCTAATTCCCACTCCTTCAACATTCAACGACGCTAATCTCGGCTCCCGACCTATAAATCGGTGTAATGCCGAAATTGTCTTCGATTATAGGTCTTCATCCATTGAGAACATTCAAAGTACTGAAAAAAACAGATGAAAGTATTTGTGGATGCGATGAGCAATACAAACACGAGCATACCAATAGCCCAGAGTATGGTATCGTATGAATCTGACTTCACTTTTGTTCCATTCGTTTCACGATATGTTATCGTGAGACGATCTTGACCATTTACCGACTGCTTTTGCACTGATTCCGGAATGTATCGTCGTAGAATTTTAACGCCGTGTGCAGCTAAATTGTCGATGAGCAATTCTGCGCACTGCTAAAAAAAACATTCGTTTGTAGAGGATGCAATCGAAAACTAATTAAATATTCGATGCAATCCATACGAGCAAACAACTGCATTCCACAGTTATCGATAACGCCTTTCAGCTTCTTCACACCTCATTTCGGCCATA